TTCTCTTGATCGATTCCTCGTCAACGGCATGCTCGGCGATCTGTTTCAGAGGTTCGACGATGGGTTTAAAGCGTCTCTCCAACGCGATATCCTCGTCTATTTTACCAGTTTTAAAGCGCGATGCTTCTTGCGAATCGACTCGCTTGTTTTCGCGATCTGCTTCGCTATTTTCTCGCGATCCTTGATGTTAGCGTCCATTGTATGTTGTCTAGGTGACACATCGACGTTGACTAATCGCGCTACGGTACCGCGAACTCGTTAAATCCTTTTCTGTATCGCCCGTTGTCGAGCGGACTGTCCTTGTCGATCACCAGGAATCCGTACTTGTGCCGCCAACAGGTGCGACACAAATCGCCGAAATCCTCGTACGACATGTCGGTGTTCACGTGATCGTTGTAAACGTGCTTCAGATTGGTACCGTCCTGTTTGAACAGGATCAGCAGGTTCGCGTTGTCGCGTATCAGATGTTTCGGTATTCTCGCGTACGTCTGACAGAGATAGAAGCAATCGACGCTCGAGTGGCGGCCCATCGAGAAGTATTCTCTCACCGTGTCCTGCTTGTCGCACGCAACGTCGTCGAAGACGAAGATCGAGTTGGGGAGCGCTTCGTTCGGCGGAACGACGTCGCTGCAGTTGGAGAACATGAAGTAGCCAATCTCGTCGATCGATGTCAGCAATCGCTCGAGATACCGATACTTTGGCTGTTGCGACGATTTCGAGTAAACGTACACGTTCTCGAAACGCACACCGTGCGGGCTCTCGAGCAGGCTCACGAGCACGTTCGTTTTGCCGCAATTCGGTGGACCGCACACGATCGCGCGTATGGTGTTCGGCAGCAGTTCGCCGTGCCGGCGTTCCGTCCCCTCATCGCTCGCGATCTCTCGTCGCAGTTCGTGACGCGTATCGCCAACGGCTGTCGCACAAATCTCATGGTTTCTTGCGTACCTGAACTACAACTGGCCGCCTATTTATAGGCACGCGAAATCGCGAATCGCTCAATACCAAACATGTATCTCGCGGTGACGCATCCCTCCGACGTTCTCACCTGGAGCGCCGAGCAGTTGCAATACATACCGAAGATCGTACTGTTGCGCGTGTTCGGCAACTATATCGAGCATGTGTGGGACCGGCTGCCGGAGCACATAAAGGCGGATTAGGAGGTGCGAACCTATCGTCGCTGCCTCGATCATTACAATCTGCCGCGACAGCGGACGCACATCGACAGTCCCGCGCCACGGACAAAGGATTGCGGCGAATGTCAGTGGGGAGCGGCGGTTTGCTGAATCGCGCGATCAACGCATTTCCGTTCGAGCTACATATCCCCGGCTATCAGTTTTGCGGCCTGGGCACGTCTGCTGAAACGATTGGCCAGAGGTGACACGGGTGTGACTCCATTGGACGCGGCGTGCCGCGAACACGATATCGCGTATTCTCGTAGCAGCGATCTCACCGACAGACACGCGGCGGACGAGGTACTTGCCAGGAGAGCCCTGGGACGCGTTGTCGCGAAAAATTCGACTCTGGGTAAGAGAGCCGCAGCTGCTGCAGTCTGGGCTGCGATGAAAGCCAAGATCAAGATCGGCATGGGTATGAAAGCGAAAACGCGCAAGAGGAAGACGGCGAAGAAACGAGTACTTCCGTCGGCGAAACGAGGCGGCGTGCTACCGATTCTGGACGCGCTGGGCGCGATCGACTCCCTGATCGGCGGAGCGGCCAGCGTGGCGAAAACGGTAAACGCCAGCAAAGCCGCGCGACGTCAGCTCGAGGAGCTGCAGCGTCACAATCGTGCGATGGAAGGACGGGGGCTGCACTTCGCTCCATACAGACACGGACGGGGACTGCATTTCGCCCCGTACAAATATGGTCGGGGCAAAGCAGCGGCGAAAAAAGGAAGGAAAAAAAAACGTCAAAGAGACGTTAACGATGCCCAGGGGTGCGACTACCGACGTGCAATTGGACCGGCTGGCGCGTACCGTACTTCAGAGGCGTTTTCATGCGTAACGCATTACCGAGTGGTGGTGCGCGTTGATGCGAGAGCGGTATCGTGAATCTGAACGACGCGACGGGTCCCGGTGGCTCATTGGGTGGCGTACGCGAAGAGAAACGATCGCGTCGCGTATTTCGACAGTTTCGGCAATCTTCGACCGCCCAGGGAACTGGTGCGATATTTCGGGGACGGTGCTGCCACGATCGAGTACAATCGAACGTCCTATCAAATGTACGATCAGAACGTCTGCAGACAGCTGTGTCTGCAGTTTCTGCTAACAAAACGCTTTTGAAAAAAAATAAAACCCTTAAAAAGTCCGACGAGGTGCCGCGGGATCTCAATCACACGCTGTTTTTCCATCATGTCGATGACGCTAACGCTGAGCGGGAGGAGCAGCGTCCTCGCGGCGTACCACTCTCCGCCCATAGATCTGAGCGACGGCGACTGCCTGACGAGCTCAGCCTGACGATCTTCGAGACTTACAACACGATACTGAACGTGAACGCCTCGAACAATAAATTTTACTTCGACGATACGGAAATCACGATTCCCGAGGGATCGTACGAACTGCGAGCGATCGAAGCCTTTTTGAAAAACGAGATTCTGCAACGGAGAGGTGGAACGTCCGACTGGAGCAACGCCGACCATGACTATCCGATAGTGCTCCGCGCAAACCACAACACGATGAGATGCGAGATCTGGTGCGCCTACAGAATAAACTTTAGCAAGCCCAACAATATCGGATCGCTGCTGGGATTCTCGCCGCTACGTGTACTGCAACCGCGACTGTGGCACGAATCGGACGAGTTGATCAACATAATGAATGTGAACATTATCCGTGTGGAGTGCAACGTGACCGCGGGCGTACACCAACGGCAAAAGCGCGCACACGATCCACGAATTTTCTCCAAGCGTGCCAGCGGGATATAAATTGTCGGAAAAGCTGTCGCAGATCATTTACCTGCCGGTCATCGTACAGAACATAATGGATCTGACGATACGCGTGATCGATCAGAACGGACAATTGCTCAATTTTCGAGGAGAGGAGATCACCGTCCGATTGCACGTGCGACGGCGCTAATCGCGAGCGAGCAAAACGTGAGATGCTCGTGCTGAACGAACAGAGAGATAACGCAAGGCCGGTTACGTCATCACCGCAAGACACCGCTCGCTCTGGTCGGAACAAGAGGTTCACTGCGTCGAACGCAAAATTTTTGCAAACTCTGGGATTCGCGGTGCGACGCCATTGATGATGACCGGCATCCTGAACGTCGGAGACGAGCCGATCTTTGATGATCGTAGTGTCAAAATCGAGACTCACGCGTACAACCCGTTCGCCAACACGACATTTGGGTACAGCGACGAGATAAGAATACCCATACAGCAACAAGATCTGTACACATTGCCGTGCGACAGTTATCTGTATATCGAGGGAAAACTAACGAAGAACAGAAGGATTAAGGGAGCTGACAAGATGAGTTTGACCAATAATTGCGTCGCGTTCATGTTCGATGAAATTCGATACGAACTCGACCGCGTGGAGATCGATCGTTGCAGAAACGTGGGCATAACTAGCACGCTCAAACATTACGTCACAACCTCGTCCGACAGAAGGGTGATTCTGAGGAACGCCGGCTGGGACCCGCTCACCAGCAATGAGGGATTCTTCAATTTCTGCGTACCTCTCTATGCGCTGTTGGGATTCTGCGAAGATTACAAACGCGTGGTGATCAACGCTCGTCACGAGTTGATCCTGATACGATCGCGCAACGACAACAATTGCATGACGGCGCTAGACAAATCAAGCGCTAGAGCCCTCGATCGAATTGTAGAAGATACAATGGCGAATGCCGCACGTGTTACTGAACGAAATAAACAAGCTGTCGATGCTGCGCGCTCTGGAGAGCGGGCGCTACCTGAGCATGGCTTTTCGCTTGTGGGACCTGTACGAGTTTCCGCTGTTGTAGCAGACGTCCAAGCATTAGTAGATAGTATAGGCGGGTTCTGGATCAAATGTAGGTCAAGGTCAAGGGTGGGGGGA